CGCTGACAAAGTGAGCTGTCTTAATCGACGTTACCTTATCTTGACCTACAAATCTGATTTCGACCGAACATTCTATCCCCTACCTCTCACATACTTTGGTGTCGTTGACAAAGAAGCACTTTTTCGAAGAATTCATAAGTTACGTGACACTTGTTTTAATAAAGGCAGTTACAAATTGATGGCGGAAAGTTGCAGTCGACCTATTGATGAGAGTGAATACAGCGATAGGTATATCGTTTGGGTTGACTAATATTTTAAAGAATCGCGGTTTTAGAGAAGGAGAGAGACAATGCGCTTGCAGAGCTGAATCGTCTTAGATCTGTCGTTCGCATTCTCCATGGTGAAGATGATCATGAAATTTGGGACGTCTCTATTTCAAGGCCAAAAACTATGAAAATCAAGTCCTCACCAAAGTCTTGTCCACTGGACCGACGGTCGGCATCTATGTCAACATCTTCACACAACTCCGGGAGTCGATTGCATCGGAGTGTTGTGTGTGTTTTGACAGAAGTAATCTGCTGGATGTTATCGTTCACAGGATACATAGCCATATTAGTTATTTCCTTACCTGCGCATTTAATAAGTTATAAATGTAGGTTGGGTTGATCATTGCAATTTTAGATCAAGTCTCTGTTTCCACAGTACAGGAACTGCTAGTCGCATGGGCAGTATGACAAATAATTCGGAGCGGTCGCTGTCCCATGGTGGACGTTTATGCGGGTCCTCGCAGTCTCTTCCCAACTCGAGATCTCGCAAATGCTCTCCACTTACACATGTGCCTTCAAATCCACTAGGGAAGCGAAGTCGATCGTGCTCTCTGTGCTCAAGTGTATCCAGTAAGTAGTGGCTCTTTGATAGCCCAGTGTTTGACCTCTATCATCGTAGCATGATGCCATCTTTAGTTGGTAGTCGTTGTAGGAATTACACAAAATTTAATTGTTCATATGCTAAAAGGTAGCAACTTAAGCTGCTGCTTACGAGTTTAGCGGTCCAACAATATCGTGTGTCTTTCGAAAACAATAGAGAAGTTTTATCTAAGAAATTCATGTATAAATAAATAAAAATTTCAGAAGGGAAGTGAAGTATGGCGCACAACTAGTGCCTAGATTTGTCGTTTTAAATGGTTAAGGGAGTTTTAGGGTGTAAGTTTTTTCCAAAACACAATTTTGCTGATAACACAATGGAAGTTGATTTCCCCTTATGCTGAAGGTTTCATTAACGTGTGCTATGCAATAATAAAACAATTGAACACAAGGGCAATGCTTGCTGGATTCTCATGTTTAATGCAATCATGGCGTTTCTGCACTTCCTTCTAAGGGCGCTTCGATCCTACCGCCTATGTTCATGAGCAACGCAAGAAGCAGCAAGAAGCAAAGCAGAAAAGGTGATTAACAGATTTGACAAGCTACTCTTTCATTCAACTATCTGAATTTTCTTTTAAACCTCTTATGCTCACTTTTAGTCCCTTTATTTTTACTAAGTATTGCCAATCGTTTGATGCTTTCCGGTCTAGAAAATTGGAAGAAATCTCCCGTCGTTCTCGTCACTCTCCTTCTCCCACATTTCACACTCGATCGCGTTACCCACTTGCCACTCGTAAAGTGACTCAAAGTACACAACTCTCCACCGCCAATTTACGCAACTGTCAAATCCCCTTGTGGCGACCACACTTCAATACGCCTTCCACCTTCATAGCATCACGTGGATGGGATAGGGTAACGCCAGATGAAAGCGACCTCTCCGGCTTGAATGAATGCCATCTCCAACATGCTTCTCGAGTCAGGGACAAAAGGTACGATCCGTGTAAACTTGGCAATGTCAAGAATTAGAGAGATAGTATAAGGGTCCTTTGGTGAAGCAGTGAAGGCAAATTGTTTAAGGTGGAATTTCGACTTGGTTGCTCTGCA